TTCGCGCCCACACGCATGTGCAAAGAGGGCCGCAGGCGCTAGCACAAGTGGGGGGGAATGTGTGCCCACACTTATGCGCACCGGCCAGCCATTTCCGTGGCCCACTGGCCAAGAGCTTGGGAACCCCTGATCTAGAATATTTCATATTTCTTAATGATAAATAAATTAAATCACTCAGAACTTTTGTCTGCAGCTTCAATTATCAAAATAGATGGATAATAGTTTTCTGAATAAGATATCATATTTTGTTTAAAAAGATTCAGGATAATTAGAGATTGCACAGAATGGGGAAAAAACTGTTTTGAAATTGGAAGAGGTTACTCCATTCTGCCAGATTGGGTCAGCCACTGGTTAACAGAAACAAGGCCCAGATTGTTTTGATTGTCCTGGGTTTTGGGTGAAAGAAAATCTGGACAGTGTGAGTAAAGTAAAAGTGTTTTATATCTTCTCTCTACCCTCTCCTCCTCTTCCTATAGCCAATGTGCCACCCATATTTAATCTTCCCAGAATCTGAATTTCATCGTTACCTTAACCCTCAAACTGATATTACTGCTATCACTCTTGTCTCAGCAGAGCATTCACTTGCCCACATGTGCTTGAGTTGCCCAATATCCCTCCCCTCTGTTCTCTTCGCTTTTTCTGCCAATCACATGCAAGCAAGCTAGAACAGATGAAAGAAAAGAAGCTGAAGAACAAGAAGACCAAAGAATACCTAATCAAGAAATACCACTTAGAAACAAGGAAGATCAAGGAAGCACTGGAAATAATAAAGCAATAAATAACAGCTATAGCCAGGAAAATCAGTAGATATGAAGCTTGAATTGCAAACTATAGGCAGAACCTCCAATTTCAATCCAATCAGAAACGTTTCTACCAATCCATCAATGGAGAAACTGCAAGGAATCAGTCAGTACCTGACAAGGAAGAAACAGTGCAGTTCTGGAAGCAGATATGGGATAACCCAAAGAAATACAACAAGGATGCGGCTTGGTTAAAAGAGGTGGATGCAAATAAAACAGAAGTTGAAATGAAAGAACTAGTAATAACAAAAAAAATGGTAGAAAAAAGAGCAAGGAAAATCAAAAATTGGTCAGCACCAGGTGAAGATGAACTGCATGGGTTTTGGTTGAAACATCTAACTGTTATACACCCATCATTTCCAAGCAGTTCAACAATATACTACAAGGAGGAGAAATTGAAAAGTGGCTAACAACTGGGAAAACCTACCTAATAATGAAAAATCCAGCAAAAGGGGCAACACCAGGCAACTACAGGCCAATTACCTGCTTACTAACAACTTTCAAATTACTAACTGGTGTGGTAGCTGATGCAGTACAACACCATCTAGTTGAAAACAATCTCTTTCCACCTGAGCAGAAAGGAAACCGCCCCAATAGCAGAGGAACAAAAGATCAACTCCTAATAGACAAAATGATCTTGGAAAACTGCAAGAGAAGGAAGACCAACCTGAATGTGGCATGGATTGACTACAAAAAGGCATTTGACTCTCTGCCACATGATTGGATAATAAAGTGCCTAGAAATAACAGGAGTCAGTAGAAACATCAGAAAATTTGTGCAAAGATCGATGGCACAATGGAAGACACAGTTGCAGATCAATGGTGAGAAGCTGGGAGAGGTTAATATCAAGAGAGGAATATTTCAAGGAGATTCATTATCACCATTACTATTTGTTATTGCACTGTTTCCTCTGTCAACAATACTGAATAACTCAGGACAAGGCTATCAAACATCAAAAACATCTACCTGACTATCCCACCTCCTTTACATGGATGATCTGAAGCTGTATGGAAAAACATCATCTGAAATAGAATCGCTGCTCAACACTGTCCGTATATATAGCCAAGATATTGTAATGGAGTTTGGCTTGAACAAATGTGCCACACTTACTATCAAACAAGGAAAAATAATGAAAACTGAAGGAATCAAGATGCCCCACGAAAATAACATTAAGAGTCTGGATGAGGAAGAGTACTACAAATACTTGGGTATCCTTCAAGCTGACAACATCAAGCACACTGAAGTCAAGAAAAAGATTAGAGGTGAATACATCAAGAGAGTGAAGAAGATCTTAAAGTCCAAACTCAATGGAGGAAATACCATAAAGGCAATCAACACCTGGGCAATTCCAGTCATTAGGTACACAGCTGGAATAGTGGACTGGACTCAAGCAGAACTAAAAGCAATGGATAGGAAGACCAGAAAAATAATGACAATGAATCATGCCCTTCATCCACGCAGTGACATTGATAGACTTTATCTACCAAGGCAAATAGGTGGGCGTGGAATGCTACAAGTACATCAGATGGTTGAAGAAGAAAAAATGGCTTTGGAAGAATATCTGAAGAACAATGATGAAGATGCACTGAAATTAGTATATCAGGAAGGCTTACTAACTACTGGAGAGACCAAACTGGCCTACAAGAAAGACCAAATGAAGAACAGAATAGAGGCATGGGAAGACAAAGCACTACATGGCCAATACGTGAAAAAAATAGCTGGGGAAGCAGATAATAATAAAACCTGGCAATGGCTAAGAGCAGGAAAATTAAAGAAAGAGACCGAGGGACTAATTCTGGCTGCACAAGACCAAGCCTTAAGGACAAATGCATATAGAGTCAAAATTGAGAAGACAGCAACAGACAGTAAATGCCGCCTATACAAAGAAGCTGAAGAAACAGTGGACCACTTGGTAAGCTGTTGCAAGAAGATTGCACAGACTGACTACAAGCAGCGGCATGACAAAGTAGCAACAATGGTGCATTGGAAGATCTGCAAAAAATATCATTTGCCTGTAAGCAAAAACTGGTGGGATCATAAAATAGAGAAAGTCATAGAAAATGATAAAATTAAACTGCTCTGGGACTTCAGAATTCAAACAGACAAGCACCTGCAACATAACACCCCAGACTTAACAATTGTCGATAAGAAAGACAAAAAAGTCTGGATAGTGGACGTGGCAGTGCCTGGAGACAGCAGAATAGAAGAGAAAGAACTGGAGAAGATAACAAAATACAAAGACCTACAAATAGAAATAGAAAGACTGTGGCAAAAGCAAGCAAGGGTAGTACCAATAGTCATAGGCTCCTTGGGTGCAATCCCAAAACAACTGGAGCACCACTTGAACACCATTGGCATTGACAAATTCGCTATTAGTCAATTGCAAAAGGCAGCCTTACTAGGAACTGCTTCCATCCTGCGACGATATCTGTAATACCATCAAACATCCATATCTGCCTATCCCAGGTCCTGGGTAAGGACTTGATAGGTAGACAAAATGCCAAATCCAGTCTGAACATCTGGCTGAGTGTGCGATGATCCATAATAATAATAATAAAGTTGGAAGTGACTTTGGAGGTCATCTAGTCCAACCCCCTGCTCAAGCAGGTAACCCTATACCATTTCGGACAAATGACTGCCCAGTTTCTTCTTAAAAACTTCCAGTATTGGAGCATTTACCACTTCTGGAAGTAGGTTGTTCCACTGGTTAATTGTTCTAACTCTCAGGAAGTTTCTCCTTAGTTTTAGGTTGCTTCTCTCTTTGGTTAGTTGCCATCCATTGCTTCTTGTCCTGCCTTCAGGCACTTTGGAAAATAGCTTAACTCCCTCTTCTTTGTGGCAGCCCCTGAAATATTGGAACACTGCTATCATGTCCCCCCTCGTCCTTCTTTTCATTAAACTAGACATACCCAATTCCAGCAACCATTCCTTATATGTTTTAGCCCCCAGTCCCCTAATCATCTTTGTTGCTCTTCTCTGTACTCTTTCTAGAGTCTCAACATCTTTTTTACATCGTGGTGACCAAAACTGGATGCAGTACTCCAAGTGTGGCCTTACCAAGGCATTGTAAAGTGGTATTAATACTTCACGTGATCTTGATTCTATCCCTCTGCTAATGAAGCCTAGCACTATGTTGGCTTTTTTGGCAGCTGCAGCACACTGCTGGCTCATATTTAAGTGATTGTCCACTAGGACTCCAAGATCCCTCTCACAGTTAGTACTATTGAACAAGTTACCCCCTATACTATACCTGTACATTTGGTTTTTCTTGCCTAAATGTAGAAACTTACTTTTTTCACCATTGAATTTCATTTTGTTAGATAGTGCCCAGTGTTCAAGTCTGTCCAGATCTTTCTGTATCTTAAGCCTGTCTTCTGGAGCGTTGGCTATTCCTGCCAGCTTGGTGTCGTCTGCAAATTTGATAAGTTCCCCATCTATCCCCTTGTCTAAATCGTTGATGAAAATGTTGAAGAGTACTGGGCCCAGAACAGAGCCCTGGGGCACCCCACTACACACTTCCACGGCAAATACCACGGCATTATAAAATGAAGTAATTAAGCAAAATAATAACAACAACAAAATGCTAAAGAAGAAAGTAAAGGTAACTGAGAACAGAATATCCAAACACAGGCCAAGGAAGGGGTTCTAATGTATTCTAGATCTCCTCTTAAGGCTTTCTTTCAAAGCTGAAACATAAATGGATGGGAGCTAGACGTGATGTTTATGGAAGATATTTTATGAATGATATATCCATGCAACTTGGTTACAATACAGCTGAAACCTTGAAATACAATCAAGTTCATCTCCACTCAAAAGAAATGTCTACTGTGTTCATTAAGGAGCAAATTAGATCCATTGCCCACTAGAACTATCCTGTATACACTTTATGCCAAGGCTGAAAATTGGCAACCAGAATGACCATCATGCCCAATGCAATTTGTAAAACCTTCATCAAATACTGCTGTACAGCTTTTTTCTGCTGATACTATTTCTACTTATAGGAATATCCATAAGCATTTTTAATTCATGATATTCTTGCTGAATATAAATTCTGCCTCTTTTAAGACATTTAAGTGGATGGGTTCTAGAAATAATATCAGTAACAATACTGCTTTCTAAAAATTATTTCAAAGGTCATTTTTTTAACCAACTACAGCTTAAATATCCATTTTATACATATAATTGAATTATTAAACAAACCTGAGTTAGTGTCTCTTGTTCATGGAGCAAGAGAAGTTTGGTTCCAGACCCTTCTGTCTTCTGCTCCAGCATCAAAGAAAAATGTTCAATACACTTGATTGAAAGTTTTTCTTGAAGGGTTAAAATGACATCCTTTATGATATAAGATTAAAATAAAGAAAGAGAAATGAGATAAAAATAAAGACCTAAAATTGTTTTGTAAATTCTCCATTGAGTGCAAGCAACTGGTATGTGTAATTTTCCATAGGAGAACAATATGTTTATTTAAACAAACCCTCATCTTTATATGTTCTTTGTTGTAATTTTTTATAATTGGAACTTGCTCTTAAATAATGACCCTAATTCTAGGTTTTTAACAGGTAGTATAATGCCACAGATGATATAGAGGTTTCTGTTGAGTTTCAGATGACTTTTTTTCTCTTCCTTTTAGTCATGTCAGATTCTCTGAAATTGCTTGGACAAATCTCTACTGTTTTCTTGGCAAAGTTTTTCAGAAGTGATTTGCTGGGGCTGAGAGGAAGTGATTAGCCTAAGGTCATTCATCTGGCTTTGTACCCAAGGCAGGAAACAGCTCACGACCTTAATCTCCACATCAAACATGTGGAGCGCGTCATCAGCCCGTTGTATACAATCAATACAATCAATGGGCCAATGACGCGCTGAAGGAGCCGGGCGCAGAGGCAGGAGGCTATATGAGCTGCCTTCCCGATCTCCTATTCTAACTCGATGACGCTGGCAGTTTTTGGCCAGACAAAAGCTTAGTGACTCTTCTTAATCACAGGCTTGTTTATATTAAACAGTCTGGTTTATTATATCCTGGTGTTCGTTTTTTTTCTTTCATTTGGTGTGTATACACACACACACACACACACACACACACACACATTTAGAGCTTACCTTTATAGAAGTACTGCAATCAAAGCGAAAAGATTTGGTTTGCCCATTTTCAAGATACACTTTCAGAACATTTGGCATAAAAAGAAGTGAATTATCTTTAACTGTTTCCTATTAAAGAATAATAATTGTGATGAGAATCATATTGACTTAAAATTAATCTAAATTTCATAGAAAATCATAATATGATACAGCAAAAGCTTTATGTACACAGAACCTTAAATGTATTGAATCTCACAAACAAAATAATTAGTTCTGTATTAAAGTTAATACTGAATGGTTATCTTCACATAAAGACTTGACTTATACTCTATTCTTCAAGATGATCAAACTCTAATACCCTGATTACTCTTTAGGTAATTCGTGAGCTTGAACTTTGGATGGAATTTGTTTTCATAAAGCCTGGATTTACTTCAGAAACAGTATCCTTCATGCCAAGACATACTATAAGAAACAGTTTTTAAAAATAGAAAGCTTGTAAGGAAAACACATTTTCAGCTATCTGGGCAGACTGACAAGTCATCCGGTGTGTGATTTCTATGGCAACTGGATGCAAGTTGTTTGCATGATTAAGGGGTGGTTTCAGAGCTGGTTCAGCCTTAGATGGGCAGTCTGCAGTCTCTGTAAACTGTTGGCTTTATCATAGCTTCTGATAAAATGAAATCTTGGCCTATTTATTTGTCTTAATAAAAGAGAATCTCTGTAGCAAAGGGCTGAACTGTGGAATTCTTGGTGCCCTCTAAAGTTGGGCCGTTTGCTTGCAAATGTTTCATTACCTGACTGGCTGACCTTGCGTACTTGTCTGTATCACGGAATTAAAAAAAGAGAATGAAAAATCCTAAATATTTGCAAGTGTCATGCTGTTCTAGCCTTCTGAATATTCCAAGTTCAGTAGTGACAATAACTCCAGACAATCCAGTCATTGCAATGATCCAGCATGCCAACTCTCTCTCTTTTAAATTGCAAAAACTCATTTAGTGAGAAGCAAGGGAAGAATCATTATTTGTATTTTTCACAGGATTCAGCAAGGACAAAATTGAGGAGCTGAAATCTAAAGATACCAGAATTGAAATGGCATTCTTTCAAGCAAAGAATGTAGAAATTCCTTACCAGTCGATGATTCTTATGAATTATTTATACTGAGCTGTTGTTTACTTTGCCAAGAACAAAATACTTCATTGTGCCCTTGGTTTCATAACACATTTCTTTAAATTATTAAAATGTCTCAGAAAAAACACCTTTCTGCTGTGCTTTCTGAAATATTTTATTACTCCAGATAATCCACTCTGAAGATGTTGCATGCCTATAGCACTCAACAGTCCCTAGACAATTTTTGAAATAATAAATAAATGATAATCAGTTAGGGATGGTTTTCACTGCTACGTGATTACATAATGGAGTCCTCTCAGATGGTGAATCAATTTTTAATTTGCTTATTTGAAAATGCACTGAATATACATGTTATAAAATAAGGTATTTTTAAAAATTATACCTCCTACAAACAACGATCATAATCATTAACTCTCCAGTATATAACATGTTCACATTAAATGTGTGTGATTTAACATGTGGTACATTTAAGCAAACAATCATATAACATACATAAAGGTAGTGGTGACTTCATGTGTTTGAATTTCTTTGTATTTTCATGTTTGTGCAGTGTGACTTTCACCTCAGTAATAAATATATTGTTCATGCATGCATGAAACAACATATCTACTTAAAATTTTGCAAAATGAATGAATGGATCCCATTTTTCCTAGTTAAAAAAAGGCTTAAAATTGCACTTACTGAAACTTGGCCATTAATAATGACCTCTTCTGAGAATCGAACTTTGACAGGATTGGACTTCAATCTGGCTTTTTTTGCAGCACTGATAAATGCTGACTTAGGAGACTGGAAAAAGAGGTATGAGAAAAGAAAGAGATCATTTGACTGGTACTTAACTCTCAGTCTTTTCTATAGTAAAGCTAATAAAAAATACTTGACTCATTTTTGCCATAGACCTTAATGCTTTTCAGTGTGCTATTATCTGTGAAGAAGAGGAGTTAAAAACAATTCATGGTTTACTCTTCAAAATATGGGATATAAATATAAAACCTGATGTGGCCCTTCTGTTTATTCTATTATTAAATCTGGACAAACAAATATGTTGAAAGTCAGTATGTATTTTCCACAATATCAATTAGAGATAAAAAAATGCAGCCTGTGGAAAACACAGGACTTTTATTGAGGAAAGATATTTTTTGTATATTTTGTTTTGAAATTCATCCCTCATTTTCAATATATGTAAAGCTGTAAGAGAGAAAAATGGGAAGTGTAACCTTCATGGGAGTTTTATCCACTAACTCAGCTCTTAAAAAGAGCTTCACCCACTTTTGGAATGTGGTTCTGGGCATGTTATGCCAATGAAAGTTGGGAATCATGTGTTAATGTAAAGCTGTTACATATCTTTTTGCAATAATAATTCCTGACTGGTAACTAGTCATTTGGTATTCTCAAGTCAATGCTAGAATGAAAATCATTTGCATAGACACTTGCCAGAGTCAATGTTTAAAAAATACAGACATGTGTGTATGTGTGTGTTCACAGTCACACAATTTCTCTATAGTTATTCTGAACTGCAGTTAAAATTAACAAAATTACTACATAGATAATTCTTTAAACATATAAATATGTTAAAAATATAAAGGATTGCACCTAACATGTTAGTAGAATAAACAGTTTGTAGTAGTACAGGTAGTCCTCAACTTACAACAGTTCATTTAATGACTGTTGAAAATTACAACTACAACACTGAAAAAGGTGACTTATCACCATTTTTCATACTTATAACTGTTGCAGCATCCCGATGATCATGTGACCAAATTCGGAAGTTTGGCAACAGACTCTTATTTATGACAGTTGTACTCTCAAGGGTCATGCGACCTTCTTACAAGCAAAGTCAATGGGGGAGGCAGATTCACTTAACAACCGTGTTACTAGCTTATCAACTGCAGTGATTCACTTAACAACTGTGGCAAGAAAGGGCAAAACTCACTTAAATGTTTCACTTAGCAACAGAAATGTTGGACTCAATTATGATCATAGGTCGAGGACTACCTGCACTGGCTAACATGCTTTTAAAAACATAGATGACACAGGCATACAAGGCAGAATTATCTCCATTGCTGGAGATCTTTGGTACCTCTGTGTAGACACAAGATATACAATTATTGCTTATATCTAACACTAACCTCACAAACATGTAATGTTTTCTTTAATGTTCAACTGATCATATACTCAAATTAAACAACATCAGTCATAAAAGCCAAATCAATTTGTGAAAACAATGTTCTCAATTGCTTTAAATTAAAATGTTAATTCCTTCATATCTGCAATATGAGTATAAGAATAACTATAAATGTATAAACTGACTGTAATTTCTTATAATAATATAGTCTGGCTAAAATCCTTTGCTATTAATGAACTAAGGAGAAGGTATTTATTTCTGCAAAATATTTATCAAGAAAACTAGATTATTTATACAGTCCATAAGAGGTGGTATATAATAAAAACAGAATAATGATTTGTTTTTTATGAGCAAAAATAAAACAAAAGCATGAATAACCTACTCATGCTAGAAAAAAATACTTCTGCATTAATCTAAGATGCCTTTCTTAGCATGGAAGAGTTACACTTTATATGCATAGTACAGGGGTATCAAACTCAATTTCATTGAGGGCCACATCAGCATTGCGGTTGCCCACGGGGGCCCGGTGGGTGTGGCCAGGGTGGGTGCGGCATACTGGGTGGGTGTGGATGGTGTGGGTGTGGCCTACTGGGTGGGCGTGGCCAGCTCTACATCATTCGCATCAAGGGTGTCTGTGGGAGCCTGGGCAGGAGTGGGACAGATCTGAGGGTCTCTAGCAGAAGGGGGTTGGACAAGAGCAAGTGCCAAGGCATGGTCCATTGGAGGAGCCTCACTGATCCTATCAGGCCATGCGGGGGGGGGGGGCTGGATGGTGGTGCGGGCTTTCCGGAGCCCTGGGCAGCAGAGGTCAAATGCCCAGCCTAGCCCTCGAGCACCCGCGGCACCAAGCCCAGCCCCACTTCCTCAGGGGGGCGCCCAGCTGCACTTATCTCCTCCTCAAGGCTGCTGCTGCTGTGCTTGCTCTCCTTACCCAGGTTGCTCATGATGGGTCCGAGGCAAAGTCAGAGGAAGGCCCATTCCCTCTCCATGGGAGGAGACCCAGCTTTGTATCCAAAGCTTCCTTAGCAATAGGATGGGAGACCCTCGGGATAGGCCAGGAGGAAGGGGCAAGGGGATGGTGAAAGGGCAGCAGGGCAGAACTAAGGCAGGACTTCCCTCAGACCCTCCCTCTCCTTCTTTCCTTCCTTCCTAATTACAGAGTGGTGGGAAATATTTGAGATGAGGGAAGGAGAAAAACAGGCAAGAAACGCAGCTGGGGAGATATCACCCTTCATGAGGAATGAAGAAATGCACCATCGCCTGGAAGTGGCCAGCACATGGCCCTCACCTACTTCACATATCTGGCTTGATGGGCTCTGGGGGAGGGGATGCCATGAGTAGTGTGAGAGTCAACATTACCTGTGCAATGCCACCCAGCCCCCAGCCTGCCTGGTTTCGGCAGGCAGTGAGGTACTTTCCTCACAGCGCCGATAGGCTGAACCAGGCAGCGCAAATCTAAAAAGAAGCGCGATGCCGCCCAGCCCACAGCCTGCCCAGTTTCGGCAGGCAACGGGCGCTCTCCTCACAGCACTGAGAGGTTGAGCCAGGCAGTGCGAAGCTTCCCAGCTTTGCACCTTGCTACCTGCTGAAACTGGGAAGGCTGGGGGCTAGGCAGCATTGCACTTCTCATCATATTTGTGCCACCCAGCTCAGCCTCTCAGCACTGTGAGGAGAGCACCCTGCTGAAACCCCTCCCCCAGAGCTCATCACACCAGATATGTGAAGTAGGCAAGGGCCATTTGCTTTCCACTTCCAAGCGATGTTGCATTTCTTCATTCCTCACAAAGGTTGACACCTCTCCAGCATGCACCCAGGGGGCAGGGCCGACAAGGCAGGGGCTGGTTCCTTGCTGTTTCCAGACGGCCTTGTGGAGCTAAGACTAAATGCGTTTCAGCATAGATGGCCACCACAAAATTGTACATTGGCTCCCAGCTGGCCTGGGCCAGGGCCAAGGAAGCGGGGGCCATTCCCTCACTGTTTCCAGGATGGCTTCGCAGGCCACATGAAACCATTTTGCAGGCTGCATCCGGCCCGTGGTCCTTGTGTTTGACATGTCTGGCATAGTATATAAACTTCATACTACCAAAACATTAATCTACCATAGTTTTCTTAATCATGACCAATATACATAAAACCAACGTACAGAAGAACTGATTTGTCCTTTACTTCCTTTTACCTTCTTTTATTTCTTACCTTTGGGGGGAAAAACCTTCTATGTCATATTTTAAGAAACTTGTGATTTTTAAAAAACCCTTATATTAAAAAAAGCATGAACCAAAGCAGAATCCTTACCCTTTCCTCTCCTAGCTGTATCACAAAAACCAGAAACTGAAAAGTAGAAGCTCTATAGGATTTCCCAATCTAATTTGAACAAGTAAGCACTTCATCACTGAGGAGATGCTTACTATATCAATCAAATGCTGGTAAAGTCCATTATTTGCTCCCATATATGGCAACAGCATTAGCAGAAAAGACAGGTAACTCTACCACTATTTCAACTAAGTTGACAGACACTGTGAAATCCATCACATTAATATATAACACTGTCTCCTTATTTGCCATATAGTGATCTCTCTGTAGGGTAGTGATTGTGTGTGTGTGTGTGTGTGTGTGTGTGTGTGTGCATGTGCATAAATTTAACAAGGTCTATCATTAACCAATATTGTCGATACTACTGTCTCATCCCTGGAAAGACCTTAATAGTTATCCAGAATGACATCTTACCAGGTCAATAGTTCAAATTTATCCCGAATCTAAATGCATAGCCCAATAGATAAATTATCTGATTGGCAATTCTTAAACTTTTTTTTAAAAAAGTCATTGTACTGGTAGTTGTAACCATTTACAAAACAATTGTTTATAATAATCAAATAATTCCCACAAAAGTGAAGCTTTAAACTGCTTAAAATGATTAACTTCCTAACAAATTTTCTTATTAGTACAGATAGCATTCAAATTAACCTATGAATGATTTATTGGATACATCAGAGCTTATAGTTAAACTGAAAATGAATGAAACAAAACTAATCTAATAGACAGTAAATGTATTATATGCTGTTTATTTCATCCAGTTTTAACAATGCATAAACTCAAGCTTTATATAATGCCCCATTTTATCAAAGCTGTATACTGTTATTCCTATCTCGTGTTCTCTGTTTATTTGCTTTATAGAACAAATCAGGAGATTATATTTTAATTAATATTATATCTTAAACAATAAGGCTGATGCAGCCCCAAATAATTCTTTGATCTAAAATATTGTTATATTGGTGACAATAGCTTCTCCCTCCTACCATTAACTTTACCAATAGTCTCTTGTATTCTTTTTCTTCCCACTCCAATGCTGATACTGTTGGCTGAGTACATGGGTTTTGAGGAATGTGGCTGGGACACTTGTGTATCTACTTTAATTAGCACTCCTAAAGGCTACATGATTCTTGCTCTTTTATATGTGTGTTGAAAGAAAAATCTTCATCAGGGTCCAGTCAAGCCAGGAATAAACAAAATGGAGACTGCTTTAGAAAGGTTGTAGTTTATTGAAGAGCAGAACCACAAGACATGAGGCTCTGGAACAGCTGACCACATGTAGCTGTGATTGGTGGGTTTTTTATACCTTCTTGGGCTTTTGTGTTTGAAGTTGTTCTTCCTGTTCCTGTGGCATGAA